AAAAAGGGGGGGGGCGTGATGATGTCATGGAGGAGCCTGGTGATGTCATAGAGGACGTGATGATGTCACAGAGGACCTTGGTGACCTCATAGAGGACCTTGGTGACATCATGGTGGATGTGATGACGTCACAGAGGACCCTGGTGACGTCACAGAGGGTGTGATGACATCACGGAGGACCCTGGTGACATCATGATGACCCTGGTGATGTCATGGAGCATGTGATGATGTCACAGGGGAGCCTGGTGACATCACGGCGGACATGATGACGTCAGAGCAGACGTTGGTGACGTCACGGTGGACGTGATGACGTCACAGAGGACCTTGGTGATGTCAGGGCAGGCCCTGGTGATGTCACAGCGGACGTGATGACATCAAAGTAGACCTTGGTGACATCACGGTGGACATGATGATGTCACACCGGACCCTGGTGACGTCAGGGTGGACCCTGGTGATGTCATGGGGGACCTCACGCCACCCTGAGGTGCCCTCCCCCCAACCCTGGTGGCCTCAACTCAACCCTGGTGGCCACACATCAACCATGATGGCCTCTATGTCAACCCTGGTGGCCACACATCAACGATGCTGGTGACCACATCTCAACTACGATGGTCTCAAACCAACGTTGGTGGCCACAAGTCAACTCTGGTGGCCACACGTCAACAATGCTGGTGGCCACATCTCAACTACGGTGGCCTCAAGTCAACCCTGGTGGCCTCAAACCAACTCTGGTGGCCACAAGTCAACTCTGGTGGCCTCAAACCAAGCGTGGTGGCCTCAAGTCAACGATGCTGGTGGCCACATCTCAACTACGATGGTCTCAAACCAAGCGTGGTGGCCTCTACATCAACCCTGGTGGCCTCAAACCAACTCTGGTGGCCACAAGTCAATCATGGTGGCCTCTACGTCAACCCTGGTGGTCACATCTCAACCATGATGGCCTCTATGTCAACCCTGGTGGCCTCTACGTCAACCCTGGTGACCTCAAGTCAACCCTGGTGGCCACAAGTCAACCCTGGTGTCCTCAAGTCAACCCTGGTGGCCTCTAAGTCAACCCTGGTGGCCACAAGTCAACGATGCTGGTGGCCACATCTCAACGATGGTGGCCTCAACTCAACCCTGGAGGCCTCTACATCAACCCTGGTGGCCTCAAACCAACTCTGGTGGCCACAAGTCAACCCTGGTGACCACACGTCAATCATGGTGCCCTCCCTCCAACCCTGGTGGCCACAAGTCAACGACGCTGGTGGCCACATCTCAACCCTGGTGTCCTCAAACCAATCCTGGTGGCCTCAAGTCAACCCTGGTGGCCTCAAACCAACCCTGGTGGCCACACGTCAACGATGCTGGTGGCCACATCTCAACCCTGGTGGCCTCTATGTCAACCCTGGTGGCCACATGTCAACGATGGTGCCCTCTACATCAATCCTGGTGGCCTCAAGTCAACTCTGGTGGCCTCAAACCAACCCTGGTGGCCTCCAAGAGGGCGGGGCGAGCGTCCCTCGGCCCCGGTGGCCGGCGGGGCGGGGCGGGTGGCTAGTTGAGGGTGCCGCGGCAGCTCTCGGTGCGGCAGAGACAGGGGATCTTGGTGTCCTCGATGGGGAACTTGTAGTCGTAGGTGATCTCCTCGTTGACCCCGATGGGCTGCTTGGAGTAGATGACGATCTTCTTCTGCGCCTCGATGGTGATGACCTTGGCGTAGCAGTTGGGCTGGGGGGGAGGGGGACACGGGGGTCAAGGAGGTGGCCACCAGCCAACCCTGGTGGCCACAAGTCAACCGTGGTGGCCACAAGTCAACTGTGATGGCCACAAGTCAACCATGATGACCACAAGTCAACCCTGGTGGCCTCAAGCCAACTGAGGTGGTCTCCACCCAAGGGTGGTGGCCACAAGCCAACCCTGACGGCCACAAGTCACAAGTCAACCCTGGTGGCCACAAGTCAACCATGATGACCACAAGTCAACCCTGGTGGCCACAAGTCAACTGTGGTGGCCACAAGCCAACCCTGGTGGCCACAAGTCAACCATGATGACCACAAGTCAACCCTGGTGGCCACAAGTCAACTGTGGTGACCACAAGTCTACCCTGGTGGCCACAAGTCAACCATGATGACCACAAGTCAACCGTGATGACCATAAGTCAACCCTGGTGGCCACAAGTTGACTCTGATGGCCCCAAGTCAACCCATAGTGGCCTCAAGTCAACCGTGGTGGCCTCAGGTCAACAATGATGGTGGCCCCAGGTAAACCCATGGCAGCCTCAAGTCAACCGTGGTGGCCACAAGCCAACCCTGGTGGCCACAAGTCAACTGTGATGACCACAAGTCAACCGTGGTGGCCACAAGTCAACAAACAGTGGCCTCAGGTCAACAATGGTTGTGGCCCCAGGTCAACCCATGGCAGCCTCAAGTCAACTGTGGTGGCCACAAGTCAACCCTGATGGCCTCAGGTCAACAATGGTGGTGGCCCCAAGTCAACCGTGGTGGCCACAGGTCAACTGTGGTGGCCACAAGTCAACCCTGGTGGCCACAAGTCAACTGTGATGGCCACAAGTCAACGATGCTGGTGGCCACAAGTCAACTGTGATGGCCACAAGCCAACATTAATGGCCACAAGCCAACCGTGGTGGCCACAAGTCAACCATGGTGACCACAAGTCAACTGTGGTGGTCACAAGTCAACCACAATGGTCACAAGTCAACTGTGATGACCCCAAGTCAACCGTGGTGGCCTCAGGTCAACAATGGTGGTGGCCACAAGTTAACCCTGGTGGCCACAAGTCAACCGTGGTGGCCACAAGTCAACCCTGGTGGCCTCAAGCCAACTGAGGTGGTCTCCAACCAAGGGTGGTGGCCACAAGCCAACCCTGATGGCCACAAGTCAACGATGCTGGTGGCCACAAGTCAACCGTGGTGGCCACAAGTCAACCCTGGTGGCCTCAGGTCAACAATGGTGGTGGCCCCAGGTCAACCCATGGCAGCCTCAAGTCAACTGTGGTGGCCACAAGTCAACCCTGGTGGCCACAAAGTCAACCCTGATGGCCGCAAGTCAATGATGCTGGTGGCCACAAGTCAACTGTGATGACCACAAGTCAACCACGATGGCCACAAGTCAACTGTGATGGCCACAAGTCAACAAACAGTGGCCTCAGGTCAACCCTGGTGGCCACAACTCAACCCTGATGGCCTCAGGTCAACAATGGTGGTGGCCTCAAGTTAACCCTGGTGACCACAAGTCTACCCTGGTGGCCACAAGTCAACCATGATGGCTTGGTGGCCCCAACTCAACAATGATGGTGGCCCCAGGTCAACCCATGGCAGCCTCAAGTTAACTGTGATGGCCACAAGTCAACCGTGGTGGCCACAAGTCAACGATGCTGGTGGCCCCAGGTCAACTGTGGTGGCCACAAGTCAACCATGGTGGCCACAAGTCAACTGTGATGGCCACAAGTCAACCCTGGTGGCCACAAGTTGACTGTGATGGCCCCAAGTCAACCCATAGTGGCCTCAAGTCAACCGTGGTGGCCTCAGGTCAACAACGGTGGTAGCCCCAGGTCAACCCATGGCAGCCTCAAGTCAACTGTGATGGCCACAAGTCAACCCTGGTGGCCTCAAACCAAGGGTGGTGACCTCAGGTCAACCCAAGGGGGGCCTCAAGCCAACCAAGGTGGCCTCGTGTGGTGGCCAACCCTCAACCCTGGTGGCCCCACGTCAACCCTGGTGGCCCCAAGCCCACCCCGGTGGCCCCAGGCCCGCCCCGGTGGCCTCACCGTGCAGCAGTGGTTGATGAACCGGGCCAAGTTGCCGCACTTGGTGGCGTCGATGATGGTGTCGTGGTCCACGCGGAAGAGGTAACTGCTGCCGATGCCCTCCTGCACGTAGCGCTTCTCCCGCATGTCGGCCACCACCTGGGGGGACACGGAGGTGGTTGGAGGTGGCCACGAGGTCTTTGGTGGCCACCAAGGGAGGTTGGAGGTGACCATGAGGTGGTTGGAGATGGTGGGAGGTGGCCATGAGGTCTTTGGTGGCCACCAAGGGAGGTGGGAGGTCCCCAGAAGGTGGTTGGAGGTGGCCACAAGGTCTTTGGTGGCCACTAAGGAAGGTGGGAGGTGGCCATGGGGTGGTTGGAGGTGGTTGGAGGTGGCCACGGGGTGGTTGGGCGCAATAGGTGGTGGCCATGAGGTCTTTGGTGGCCACCAAGGGAGTCAACATGGGGTGGTTGGAGGTGGCCACGGGGTGGTTGGAGGTGGTGGGAGGTGGCCACGAGGTCTTTGGTGGCCACCAAGGGAGGTTGGAGGTGACCATGAGGTGGTTGGAGATGGTGGGAGGTGGCCACAAGGTGATGGGAGGTGGCCATGGGGTCTTTGGTGGCCACCAAGGGAGGTGGGAGGTGGCCAGAAGGTAGTTGGAGGTGGCCACAAGGTCTTTGGTGGCTACCAAGGGAGGTGGGAGGTGGCCATGGGGTGGTTGGAGGTGGTTGGAGATGGCGGTCAACCCTGGTGGCCTCAAGTCAACTGTGGTGGCCACAAGTCAACCCTGATGGCCACAAGTCAACTCTGGTGGCCACAAGTCAACCCTGGTGGCCTCAAACCAAGGGTGGTGACCTCAGGTCAACCCAAGGGGGGCCTCAAGCCAACCAAGGTGGCCTCGTGTGGTGGCCAACCCTCAACCCTGGTGGCCCCACGTCAACCCTGGTGGCCCCAAGCCCACCCCGGTGGCCCCAGGCCCGCCCCGGTGGCCTCACCGTGCAGCAGTGGTTGATGAACCGGGCCAAGTTGCCGCACTTGGTGGCGTCGATGATGGTGTCGTGGTCCACGCGGAAGAGGTAACTGCTGCCGATGCCCTCCTGCACGTAGCGCTTCTCCCGCATGTCGGCCACCACCTGGGGGGACACGGAGGTGGTTGGAGGTGGCCACGAGGTCTTTGGTGGCCACCAAGGGAGGTTGGAGGTGACCATGAGGTGGTTGGAGATGGTGGGAGGTGGCCATGAGGTCTTTGGTGGCCACCAAGGGAGGTGGGAGGTCCCCAGAAGGTGGTTGGAGGTGGCCACAAGGTCTTTGGTGGCCACTAAGGAAGGTGGGAGGTGGCCATGGGGTGGTTGGAGGTGGTTGGAGGTGGCCACGGGGTGGTTGGGCGCAATAGGTGGTGGCCATGAGGTCTTTGGTGGCCACCAAGGGAGTCAACATGGGGTGGTTGGAGGTGGCCACGGGGTGGTTGGAGGTGGTGGGAGGTGGCCACGAGGTCTTTGGTGGCCACCAAGGGAGGTTGGAGGTGACCATGAGGTGGTTGGAGATGGTGGGAGGTGGCCACAAGGTGATGGGAGGTGGCCATGGGGTCTTTGGTGGCCACCAAGGGAGGTGGGAGGTGGCCAGAAGGTAGTTGGAGGTGGCCACAAGGTCTTTGGTGGCTACCAAGGGAGGTGGGAGGTGGCCATGGGGTGGTTGGAGGTGGTTGGAGATGGCCATGGGGTGGTTGGGTGCGATAGATGGTGGCCATGAGGTCTTTGGTGGCCACCAAGGAAGGTGGGAGGTGGCCACGGGGTGGTTGGAGGTGGTGGGAGGTGGCCACGAGGTCTTTGGTGGCCACCAAGGGAGGTTGGAGGTGACCATGAGGTGGTTGGAGATGGTGGGAGGTGGCCACAAGGTGATGGGAGGTGGCCATGAGGTCTTTGGTGGCCACCAAGGGAGGGGGGAGGTGGCCATGAGGTGGTTGGAGGTGGCCACGGGGTGGTTGGAGGTGGTTGGAGGGTGGCCACAAGTCAACCCTGGTGGCCTCAGGTCAACAATGGTGGTGGTCCCAAGTCAACTGTGGTGGCCTCAAGTCAACTCTGGTGGCCCCACGTCAACTCTGGTGGCCCCAGGTCCACCCCGGTGGCCTCACCGTGCAGCAGTGGTTGATGAACCGGGCCAAGTTGCCGCACTTGGTGGCGTCGATGATGGTGTCGTGGTCCACGCGGAAGAGGTAACTGCTGCCGATGCCCTCCTGCACGTAGCGCTTCTCCCGCATGTCGGCCACCACCTGGGGGGACACGGAGGTGGTTGGAGGTGGCCACGAGGTCTTTGGTGGCCACCAAGGGAGGTTGGAGATGGCCATGGGGCGGTTGGAGGTGGCCATGGGGTGGTTGGAGGTGGTGGGAGGTGGCCATGAAGTCTTTGATGGCCACCAAGGGAGGTAGAAGGTCCCCAGAAGGTGGTTGGAGGTGGCCACGAGGTCTTTGGTGGCCACCAAGGGAGGTGGGAGGTCCCCAGAAGGTGGTGGGAGGTGGCCATGGGGTGGTTGGAGGTGGCCACAAGGTCTTTGGTGGCCACCACGGGAGGTTGGAGGTCCCCAGAAGGTGGTTGGAGGTGGCCACGAGGTCTTTGGTGGCCACCAAGGGAGGTTGGAGATGGCCATGGGGCGGTTGGAGGTGGTTGGAGATGGCCATGGGGTGGTTGGAGGTGGCCACGGGGTGGTTGGAGGTGGTGGGAGGTGGCCACGAGGTCTTTGGTGGCCACCAAGGGAGGTGGGAGGTCCCCAGAAGGTGGTGGGAGGTGGCCATGGGGTGGTTGGAGGTGGCCACGAGGTCTTTGGTGGCCACCACGGGAGGTTGGAGATGGCCATGAGGTGGTTGGAGGTGGTTGGAGATGGCCATGGGGTGGTTGGAGGTGGCCATGGGGTCTTTGGTGGCCACCAAGGGAGGTGGGAGGTCCCCAGAAGGTGGTGGGAGATGGCCACAAGGTCTGTGGTGGCCACCAAGGGAGGTGGGAGGTGGCCATGAGGTGGTTGGAGATGGCCACGGGGTGGTTGGAGGTGGCCACGAGGTCTTTGGTGGCCACCAAGGGAGGTGGGAGGTGGCCACGGGGTGGTTGGAGGTGGTTGGAGGTGGCCACGAGGTCTTTGGTGGCCACCAAGGGAGGTGGGAGGTGGCCACGGGGTGGTTGGAGATGGTTGGAGGTGGCCATGAGGTGGTTGGAGATGGCCACAGGGTGGTTGGAGGTGGCCATGAGGTCTTTGGTGGCCACCAAAGATGATGGGAGGAGGTCGCCATGGGGCAGGAGAAGGTCCCTGTGGGGTGGTGGGAGGTCTCCATGGGTTGGTGGGAGGTCCCCGTGGGGCAGGAGGAGGTCCCTATGGGGCAGGAGAAGGTCCCCATGAGGCAGGAGGAGGTCTCCATGGGTTGGTGGGAGGTCCCTATGGGGCAGGAGGAGGTCCCTATGGAGCAGCAGAAGGTCCCCATGGGGCAGTGGGAGGTCTCCATGGGGCAGTAGAAGGTCCCTATGGGGCAGGAGGTCCCTATGGGTCAGGAGGAGGTCGCCGTGGGGCAGGAGAAGGTCCCTGTGGGGTGGTGGGAGGTCCCCATGGGGCACGAGGTCTCTATGGGGCAGCAGGAGGTCCCTATGGGGTGGGAGAAGGTCCCTGTGGGGCGGGAGAAGGTCCCTGTAGGGCAGGAGAAGGTCCCTATGGGGTGGTGGGAGGTCCCTATGGGGCAGGAGGTCCCTATGGGTCAGGAGGAGGTCGCCGTGGGGCAGGAGAAGGTCCCTGTGGGGTGGTGGGAGGTCCCCATGGCAAGGAGGACGTGAGGATGGAGGGACACCAAGATGAGGAACGTCAAGATGGAGGGACACCAAGGTGAAGACAACCAGGATGGAGGGACACCAAGATGGAGGGACACCAGGACGAGGAACATCAAGATGGGGAACACCAGAGAACATCAGGATGGAAGGACACCAGAGAACATCAGGATGAGGAACATCAGAGAACACCAGAACAGAGGGACATCAGGAGGGAGGTCTCTATGGGGCAGGAGGTCCCTGTGGGGCAGGAGGAGGTCCCTATGGGGCAGGAAGTCTCCATGGGGCAGGAGGAGGTCCCTATGGGGCGGTGGGAGGTCGCCGTGGGGCGGTGTGGGGCGGGACCGACCTGGCGGATGTTCTGCCCCACGTACTCGATGACCATCTCGTCGGCGGCGATGGGCTCCATGGCGAACAGGCCCCACTCGTGGATCCGGCTCCGCCCAAAACGCAGCCGCTTCTTCCGGAACTGGGGACAACCCAACGGGGGGGACACGTCACCGAGGGGACAACCCAATGGGGGGGACACGTCAGGGGGGGACAACCCAAAGGGGGACAACCCAACGGGGGGATCCCGAGGACATGGGGGGCACCAGGGGACATCAGGATGGAGGGACACCAAGATGGAGGGACACCAGGACAAGGAGGACGTGAGGATGGAGGGACACCAAGATGAGGAACGTCAAGATGGAGGGACACCAAGGTGAAGACAACCAGGATGGAGGGACACCAAGATGGAGGGACACCAGGACGAGGAACATCAAGATGGGGAACACCAGAGAACATCAGGATGGAAGGACACCAGAGAACATCAGGATGAGGAACATCAGAGAACACCAGAACAGAGGGACATCAGGAGGGAAGGACACCAGGACGTGAGGATGGAGGGACACCAAGACAAGGAACCTCAGGATGGAGGGACACCAGGACGGAAGGACACCAGGACAGAGGGATGCCAGGACATGAGGATGGAGGGACACCAGAGAACATCAGGATGGAGGGACACCAAGGGGGAGAGACACCAGGACAAGGAACATCAGGATGGAGGGACACCAGGACATGAGGATGGAGGGACACCAAGAGGAGGAACATCAGGATGGAGGGACACCAGGAGGGAGGAACATGAGGACATGAGGATGGAGGGACACCAGGATGAGGAACATCAGGATGGAGGGACACCAGAGAACATCAGGATAGAGGAACATCAGGATGGAGGGACACCAGGATGAGGAACATCAGGATGGAGGGACACCAGGGGACATGAGGATGGAGGGACGCCAGGGAACACCAGGATGAAGACACACGAGGGAACATCAGGATGGAGGGACACCAAGATGGAGACAACCAGGATGGAGAGACACCAGGATGGAGGGACACCAAGATGGAGACAACCAGGATGGAGGGACACCAGGATGGAGAGACACCAGGATGGAGGGACATCAGAGAACATCAGGATGGAGAAACACCAAGGAACATCAGGATGGAAGGACACCAGGACATGAGGATGGAGGAACACCAAGATGAGGAACATCAGGATGGAGGGCCACCAAGAACAGGAACATCAGGATGGAGGACACCAGGAGACGTGAGGATGGAGGGACACGAAGATGGAGGGCCACCAGGCTGGAGGGCCACCAGAAGACCCGAGGGGCCACCAGGCCACCGGAGAAGCCCCACCTTGAGCTGGTTGAGCTTGAGGAGGTCGCTGTCCAAGGGCGCGGCCGAGCCCATGGCGCTGAGGAGGCGCCGCTGCTCCGAGCGTCGCTCCGACAGGAGCCGGTTGGGGCCCTGGGGGGGGGGAGGAGAAGACAATGG